TGGCGTTATCTCGGCTCACTGTAACCTCCGCCTCCTGGGTTCAAATGATTCTCTTGCCTCAGCCTCCCAAGTAGCTGGGATTATAGGAATGCACCGTCACACCCGGCTAATTTTGTATTTTTAGTAGAGTTGGGATTTCTCTGTGTTGGTCAGGCTGATATCAAACTCCTAACCTCAGGTGATCCATCTACCTCAGCCTCCCAAAATGCTGGATTATAGGCATGAGTCACCACCATGCCTGGCCAGATTTTTTGAGACAGGGTCTGGCTCTGTCACCCAGGCTGGAGTGTAGTGGTGTAATCTTGGCTTGCTGCAACCTCCACCTCCTGAATTCAAGTGATCCTCCCACCTCAGCCTGGGACCATAGGCATGTACCACCACACCTGGCTAATTTTTGTATTTTTCGTAGAGATGGGGTTTCACAATGTTGGGACCACAGGCATGTACCACCACACCTGGCTAATTTTTGTATTTTTCATAGAGATGGGATTTCACCATGTTGGCCAGGCTGGTCTCAAACTCCTGACCTCAAGTGATCCAGCCACCTAGGCCTCCCAAAGTGCTGGGATTGCAGGCACGAACCACCATGCCTGGCCTTGCCAGAATTTTGAGCTAGTGATTTTTGCTGTGTATGGCAGAATGGTGGATGCGGAGCTGTATGCGAAAGAATGGGAAGTAAATAAGAACCACAAGTAAACAGAGAGGCTATGTTTAATGCTGCTGGAGCCTTAATGAAATTAGACTCTTCACAGTCTCTCTTCAGTGTTTTGTTTTGATGCATCTGTACCCCTTACTGTCATTTTCAAACCCCATTAAAAGTCATAGTTTCTGCTGGAATACGTGAAGCGGATCTGTGTGACCATGTACTATACCAAACCTTTGCCACTGTCCCAAGCAATGGTAAGCGCTCATTTGTCTGGAAAGTATTGGCCATGCCTTGGCAGGTTTCTGTGAGAACACCGTGAGTCCTCCTGAATTCTCAGATCACTTCCTTTTACTGTCTCATTTTCCTAAAAGGTGACCCATTTGTAAGGCCAGACAGGAAAGTATGAATGTTTCATAATGATGTTAAATCTTTCTGTAAAACATATACATCCTTACTGCTAAACCTCCATAAAATGTTACATCAGGTTTGTACAGTGGAAATTAAGTACATGCATTCATGTATTTGTGGCAAAAGGAAAAATTAGAAAATTTAGGAATGTACAAAACCTAACAGAAACTCAGCTAGACATTTTGCTTAGTGTGCATATTCAGTTGTAAGAAATTTGGATCTTCAACATAATTAAGCCACATATTTTAAAAGAGCAAGTTGTAAGGAGTACCTGTAAGTGATCAGAAGGCATCGGATTGCATCCTCAGCAACCAAACAAGAACATATAATTATGTTACTTTTCTTGGCTATTTCCAAGGCATTATTTTTCTAGCTTCACACACTCAAAAACTATACACTGAGAACTCTTACCTTGTTTTATCATTTATTATCATGCAGCTCTTTAAAAACTGATGTCTTTTCTATTCTAATAATTTAACTGATTGCTTCTGTCTTCATCAGTGACCTTACTAAAGTCCAAAGCAAAAGCTGATGTTTCTAATAATTTTCAGGTATAAGAATTGATCTTTGAATTGTTAAATTCGAAATCTGTTGATTACAAAAATATCAATGTTGTCACTGAAGCCTCACTTGATAAATAATGTTAGAAGATACTGAGATATTTATACTTAGGAAAAATTTAGTTACTGAGATATTTATAAATTGAGTACCTGGCATTTGAAAGACATTTAATGCATATTTAGTTAACTGATAGAGAAAACTACCCACTTAAGTATGTGGCTGAATATTATCAGAGATACTTTTTTGTTGCAAGTTACTGAAAACCTATTCCTAATCTAGCTTAAGCCCATGAGAAGCATTTATTTATGCCTCTTATAGATAAGTATAGGAATAGGACCAACTTTAGACATGGCTCGATCAGAACTTTAGTAGAAACAATTGAAGATTGGTTTTTCTTTCTCCATTTCTCAACTGTCCACACTTTGAATATTGCCTTGATTTTTAAACAAGCTTCCATTTTTTATTGCGAGATGGCTGTTACAACCCCTGGATGTATACCTGCTCATATGAAATCCAGTCCAAGCAAAACTCAAATTACATCTCATTAACTGTGCTTGGGACAGGGCCCATCATTGAACAAATCACTGTGGCCAAGATGAGATGCTTTTAATTGTTTTCAGCCCATGCTAGCATGCACCATCAACTCCACTACTGTTATAGGAATGAGACCCCAAATGAACCACATGGGCTAAAAATGGAGAGTGTGGGGTTCCCCAGAGTGGGAAAAACAAGGTGAGGAACTTCTGGGCAGCAAAATCAATCAATTACAAAGATTCCTTGTGTCATCTAAAGAAAGGAAAATTTCTGAGGTTTGAATTTAAAATAATTACATAAGAAGATGCTAATAATGTTTAGCAATAATTGTAATTGCTTCTTTTAAAGAAGAAAGTTCTGACCAATGCTGCTATGCTTAACATGCCTTTATTTCTTTGTTAATGAGGTTTCCTTTTTCCAGATGCCAAATCTCAACCAAGTGTTCAGTTTTCAAAAGCCTTAATTAAACTTCCTGACAACCATCATATTAGCAATGTTACCGGCTATCTTACAGTTCTACAACAGTTTTTAAAAGTGGACAATTTTCTATATACAACTGGAATTACACTCAGTAAACCAGGTATTATCTACTTTTTGTATAATATAGTATAAGAAACAGTACATAAATCTTTTATCAAATATTTAGCTATTTAGATAGCTATTAAATATTCAATATTCATTTAAGCTATGGATAATACTGAAAGAGAAATTCAGCATACATTATTTCAAGTGAATGGAAATTTTTGATTTCTTTTAAATTTATTAAATTTTATTTGTTCCAAAGCAGGTAAGGTATAGAAAATGGTTATGATTATTGTATAGCTTTGAAAATTTAATACATTTAAAAACTAAAAGTTAGTTGGCATATTTTTTAATTTGACCTATACATTTTTATCAAATGGATGAGAAGTATCAGTAATTGAGAAATAAACAAGTTTATTAAGTTTATAAATTGGAGTAAGCTATTGTAAATATTTCCTATTCTGAATAAAATATAAATATTGAAAATATGTGTATTCCAGAGTCAACAGCACTCATATTTATGTAAGGATGTCATAATATAAAAGTTAAAGGAACAATGGAATTTTACATTTAAAAACACATTCATAAATAACCCCCTTAAAAACATCATTTCCTTCTGTACATCCACATTTGTTCCACCATTTTTTTTTTCTTTTGAGATAGGGTCTTGCTCTGTTTCCCAAGCTGGAGTGCAGTGGTATGATTTTGGCTCACTGTAGCCTTAATCACCCATGCTCAGGTGATTCTTCATACCTGAGCTCCCAAGTAGCTGGGACTATAGGTGCACACCAACACACCCAGCTATTTTATTTATTTTTTTTTTTTGTAGAGATGGGGTTTTGCATGTTGCCTAGGCTGGGCTTTAACTCCTGGGCTCAACAATCCACCCACCTCAGCCTCCCAAAGTGCTGAGATTACAGGCATGAGCCACCTCACCAGGCCTGTTTTACCATTTTTGCCACTTGTTGCAACCTAAGGGAAAATCCACTGTTTAAAATCACCTCAAACAGTCTATAATGCTGATAGTTTCATTTTTTTTTTTTTTCCAGATTTTTGGTTCATTGCATTTGGGGAGCAGCCAGCAATGAGTGATAAGAGCAAATAGTATTTTGGTTAGATAGAGTTTTGCCTGCTGCAGTCGATGCTATCAGTGCCCCAGCCAGATGACACTCATTCTTCTGTTACAAACCTGCTTTTCCTGCCACACACATCTGGGACTCTTGTGGCTGCCAGGGCGCTCCACTCTTGCCCCTCTCCCCTGCAGCCACCTTTCTTTTTTGCACCTGTCAAGATTGCTTCTGATTTGGAGGCTTTGGACTTGTTTATTCTACCTGGAAAATTCTTGGAGTTCCTTCCCATTTGGCTCTGGCTCAGATGTCCCCTCCTCAGAAAGGAGGCCTTCCTTTACCACTTAATTATGTTCCCTTTCTAGATTATCATGCCCTTACATTTGGGTGAGGGAAGAAACTGATGAGCAATAAATACATTGGGGGAAATAAAGGATATTTGATAGTAATGATTGTGAAAAAAGTATTGCAGACAATATCAGAAATTATTTACTGTGTCTTAGGGGCCCATATGGGGCTTTGTAAATATTTGTTAAGTGAATGAACAAAATTCTAGTTTTGAAGCCAGAGATCCAAAAGTATAGGCCAAAAGCAAGTAGATAAAAGTATACTTTCTCCATCTATTTGTAGAAATACTGTAATTTTAACCTCTATAATCATATTTTTATTCTTCATAAATATTCTGGTATATATTATAACTTTGACATTGCTAATATTTCAAAAGCAAAATAAAGGCACTTTCTGCTCCCCCTCTCCCTCCAGAGTAGTAGACAGCTATAGATAGCTCCTGATATTTAAGAAAGCATACTATAAATTGTATAATGAAATCTCTAACACCTTAAGCAAAACAATATAACCAATTCTGTTTTCTCCCTTTCTCCTACTTTGGAAGTTTTGAAGTCTAGTATTATATTTGAATTCTAAGTTTATATTTTTTCAATTGTATTAATAATCAAATATATTAAGACATTTTTATCAAGTAATGATAATACACAGGGATTTTGTTTCATGTTTAATTGCCAAACCTATTCATTAAAAATTATACATTTAATCTGAATGCTTTTTATGTAAGGAGTGCAGCTGGATCTGTGGGTTCTAGCACTCTTTGAAACAGATGGTCTTGGAAAAGGAAGGGCCAGATATTTCAAATCCACGTCTGCATTGATGATGTATGATGGCGCCTTTATTTGAGTATGATGTTGTAATGAGATGGGTTTTTTGGTTGTTGCTTTTTAGGTTTATAAAAATATTGAATTGGATTCTAGCACCCTTAAATTAGATGACTTTAGTTAGATAACTTAGGCTCATATTGATTTGTCAGTATTAACATTGCACAGCCTGTATTTATACAATATTTTTAAATTATGTTTTGAAAATCCTTAATGTGTATTCAGTAACTATTTGATATTAAAATACATAACGCTTGGTGAAATAGAGGAGTTCCTTATTTTAGACCCATAATAATTTATTAGGTAACTACCACCTCTGTTTATATATGATTTTAATAAACTGTCATCTTTTATAGGTTTTGAAAACATTGAATTGACTCCTCTAGCTGCAATATGTGTGAAAATATATTCTGGAGGAAAAGAACTAAAGGTCAATGGCTCCATTCAGATTTCTCTTCCTCTTCTACGTCAGAATGATGTAAGTGCAGGAGATCGCATACCTGCTTGGACATTTGATATGAACACAGGTATGTGAGCTAGGTTGAAATATTCTGAACATTTTGCATATTTGTCAGTTGCGTAGCTGAATGTCTTGTCTTAGAACTTGATACAGCTCTAGTTTTTCAATAACATCACAATTTTATTTACTTTGTTAGTGACCAAAATTGACCTCACTTTGGTTAACATATTACAACTATTGGGGGAAATGATAGGAATACACATGTCAAAAATAGCATTATTTATTAATTCCCTTACCTTTTTTATACCACCAACATTTTGAGGCAGAAATAATTTTTTTTAAATTATCTCTCCTCTTAGAAGTTTGTTTTCATTTTGATAAGCTCATAATATCTATCTAAAAGCATGGTTTAAGGCAATTGAGAAATGTATGCTAGTTTCATAAAAATAAATAACATTATGTTATTAAGAGATAGAGTAATTGTTTTTCCAAAGAAAGCCCTTAGATACTAGTTTTGTTCTCTGGGTTTTGCCTCCTAAATAGCAGCTGGAATTATGTGTATATTTTCTTCCTCCGCTTCCCTTTGTTTTGTTCTTGGGTTCCCATGTAAATAAGGTAGGAGTGTAAGTTACCAAAAAAAAAAAAAGAAAAGAAAAAGAAAGAAAAATGATCAGCCCATAACTGAAAAGTTCAGAGGTAGGACTTCCTTGGGTGAGTCATGCTGTAGTCTAGACAGTTTCATAAGGTGTGGGCTTGGTTTCTCTCCTCCTTCACTCTCATCTGTTTCCTCTGTGTTAGCACCTTTCTAGGATAGGATTTCCCTTCAGAGAGACAAGAGGCTGTAGGTGCTCTAAGGTTAGACTTAGCCAGGTTGAAGGCCGGTGGAGAGATTGTCTTTGGAGCTATGTATAGCTCAAGCCAGTGGACTCGCTGTAGTTGTAGAATGGAGTTTGCATGCCCTTCTTAGAACTTGCCTTTGTGACCTGCAAATTGAATGCACAGATTTATTTAGACTTCAGGTCACAAGTTGAAGCTGAGAATGGAACCCTAAACTGTCATGTTGACTGTGAATAGTGAGCAATAGATCCTCAAAGGAGACTTGGAATGGGATTTTGTGTGGGTAATTAAGCCAAAAAAAAAAAAAAAACATATATTTTTACTGTAGAAGATAAGCAGTAATATATCTATGTTTTAAAGAGTGGAAAGTATGTAACCTTGATAGTATGCTACTGAAATCATTAGATTAAGAACTCTAAGATTTGGAGTCTAGTCCCTTTACCAGCAGTACTGTTTGAAACAAGTCATTTAACTTATTTGGACCTCAGTTTCCAGATTTGTTGAATGAGAAAGCTGTGTTAAGGCACTTTAAAAACAAATATCTGCTGTTTGAGTCCTGGTTGCTGATTGTTCCCTCTAGCCAAGGCCTTTCTCTAATGTACCTTTCAGTGGCAGCATTTTCGAATTGATTTATCACTGATGTCACACTTGTGGACTATTTAAAAGCAATAGATTAAATTACTTTCATCATTTTTAAGTTTCTCTAGCTTATTAAAATACTTTTTTACATGTTGCAGATAATTCACTATAATAAATCAGTAAACCAATATACACCAAACTCAAATAGCTTTGTTATGCTATTTATAAATACAACGTTACAAAAGGCATAAGATTTACTTAATTCTTTTTTCTACTGACAGCAAATTTTGCTGGATGAGGTAGGATTTATTGAAAGTTTAGAAGATCTAGTTCTGTAAGAACAATAACAACAGCACTAGACCAAAACAATATTTAGTAAAAAATGAAGGCCATAAGAGATATCTTAATATGCACAGTTTAAATAGTATCTGGAGAGTCATGATTTTTGTAAGTATGTCCTTAAGTTTTTTTTTTTTCAAGACAGAGTCTTGCTCTGTCACCCAGGCTGGAGTACAATGGCACGCTCTCAGCTCACTGCAACCTCCATTTCCCAGATTCAGGTGATTCTCCTGTCTCAGCCTCCTGAGTAGCTGGAACTACAGGCATGTGCCACAATGCCTGGCTAAATTTTTGTATTTTAGTAGAGACGGGGTTTCACAATGTTGACCGGGATGGTCTCAATCTCATGACCTCGTGATTGGCCTGCTTTGACTTCCCAAAGTGCTGGGATTACAGGCATGAGCCACTGTGCCTGGCCATCCTTAGTTTATTTACAATGTTTTTCTTTTGGTTGTAACAAATCATTCAAATTATTCTATTTATTATAATATATGCTATATATTATAATATGATGTGATATATATTATCCTATATTGTTCCAGTTTTCATAATCTTTGAAAAAGTCCCATAAAGTATTCTATGCATGACCGTCAGCTCTTGAGATATGTAACTGTGACTAACTAGTACTTTTTATATACCTTCCTTTTTAGGTGCCTGGGTAAATCAAGGTCGGGGAATGGTCAAGGAACATAACAGTCATTTAATGTGGACATATGATGCACCACATTTGGGCTACTGGATAGCAGCTCCACTTCCAGGAACTAGAGGTATTGTAAAATATGAAAGTAATTAAAACTTACAATTCAAATAGTCTTGGAGTTGATAGCAGCAGACCTCAGTTTTATTTTAAGCACTGCCACTTACCAGCTGTATGGCAATGGGAAAGGACTTGATCTCAGCTTTTTTTTTTTTTTCATGTGTACAAGATTAAGCTCCATGAACAATAAGGTCTCTTACAGTTATATATGATGAATCTGAAGAATGAAGTTTGTTCAAATCAAGTATTTTCTTAATTTTTTTATGAATAAATTCTGCCCAAACCAGTTAGAGCTTTTGGTTGCAAGCAACAACAGAAAACGATTTTGAGTAATTTTAAAATGTGCTATATTAGAAAGATATAGGCAGTTCACAGGATCCTAGGGAAGGCTGAAGGAACCAGCTGCTGAAAGGCAGGAATCCCTGCCGTGCCAGATGGCCTAGTCAGCAGGTCTGCTTTACTACCTTTGCCAGGTTGCTGCTGTGTGTTGGCTGGCTCCAACCCTTTCCAGTATTTTTCTCACATTCTAGGGCTGAAAATTGATCATCCCATTGGCCCACTCTTGGGTCATGAACACACATGTTACTTGGTGGGGATGGAGGAGGAGAGGAAGGGCTCTTGGAAACAGTCTGTGGACACTATCATTCAAGAAAAGATTGCAGATGCACTAAATCAAGCTTGCCCAACCCTCCAGCCCACAGGCTGTATGCAGCCTAGGAC